GATATAATTACCTTCTTTAAGAAACTGTGAGTGGATGACAAATATAAGAAAACAGCAGATCGCTGCTCCTGCTAGTGCCCATAAAGCTTTCAAGAGCTGCATCTCGGTCTGAAACTCAGTAAATACCCAGAAAGTCACACAATGAATTTCCACAGCGATGCATCAACGCTTCCCTCTGTGCGCCAGGCGCGGTGGCTCCCGGCAGGGACCACACTCCCGAGCAGGGCGGGCGAGCCCGGGGCTGCGGAGGAGGGGCCGGGGCTTCACACCCCGCGCGGGGGCAGCGGCAGCGCCGCGCTCCTCTCGCCGAGGTGGCCGGCGCGGGGCCCCATGAATCAGCGCTCCGTGTCCGCGGGAGCCGCGCCGCGCCGAGCCGGCGGCGGGGGCAGGGAGCCGGCAGCGCCGGGCAGGGTTGCGCAACAGCGCCCGCTACGCCGCGGGGGCGCGGGGCCGCCGCCGCCGCCGCTCAGGGCGCGCCGCCGCCGGTCGGCGCGGGGCGCGCAGGGGCCGGGCCCTCCCCGCCGAGGCTCCGCGGGAGCCGCTGCAGCATCGCCGGGCTGCGGGCTCCGCTCGCTCGTCGGGCCGCTGTTCCGCTGCTTGCTGCCACGGCTCGGGGAGGAGAGAGTGAGCGGAGAGGGGAGGGAGCGGGGGGGGGGGGAGGGAGGGATCTCTCTTTACTGCAACTTCTCCCGGCTGGCGGCAATTTGTTGCACCCCCTTTCCTCCTCCCCCGGCTCGGAGATCCTCTCTAGTGCGGGGTTTGAGAGGGGAGTCAGTTCACCCCGCCGTCTCCGGCAAACGCGGCGCCGCTTGGGGGCTCTGGCACAGATCGCTGGCCTCCCCTCGGGCTCGCAGCTTCCCCGCCGGGGCTCCTGGTCGCCCGGCCCCGGGAGCTCCCCCGGGCGCCGTGCCCGGCCCCGTTCCCTCGCCCGCCGCTCGCCCGCGGGGTCGGCCCTATCCCGGCGCCGCGCCCCGGCGGTGGCACCGCAGCGCGCCCGCCGAGCAGCCGCGCCGGCTACGGCGGGAGCTCGCTCAGTCTACAGGTTGATGCCTCCGCTGCAGCCATCCCCGCGGAAAACAGGAGCGCAAATGAAAGAATGCCATAAATCAGGGAGAAAGGGAAAAAAAAAAAAAAAAAAAAAAAAAACAAGGCTGTGATTTTTCTGCCGCCCTCCCACTCCAGGGGAAGGACCCTGCCGCGGCCGCACGCTTCCGTAGAGCAGCCGGGCGGGGGGGGGCGGGAAGGCCGGAGAGGTGCTGCGATGCGGGACCGCTCCGCGGCGGCAGCGCGCTCGGCCCCGCCGTTGCAGGACCGGGGTATCCGCGGCCGGGGACAGACGCGCCGCGGCGCTCCGCACCCTGGGCCCGCTCCGACGGACGGGGCTACCCAGTCACCAAGCCCCGGTGCCGCGCAGGCGGGGCGGTGCGGGGCAGGGGTAACAGCTGCACATTGAAGTGCCGCCGGCCGCACAGAGGGGGCTACCCGAGCTGTGCCCGTACCCTCGGCCTGCGCAGGTGGGGCGGCTCCGCGCCCCCCGCGTTCAAACGCCGCCGCTGCCCCGCGCAACCTCCGCGTCCCCTGCGTGCCCTGCACCGCGGCCGGTGCTGCCCCACGGGGCGGAGCGCGGGGAAGCGCAGAGCGGAGCTGGGGCGGGTGTCGGCGGGCGCACAGTTCGGGGAGGGGAGGTGCAGCAGAGAAGGTGCGGGCAGGGTCAGAGGAGGTGCGGTTCGCAGCACCGCGGGAAGCTGCCGGCACAGGGTTGGCGGCCCGGCCCGGCCCGGTACAGCGGCGGGTCCTCCCCGCCGTGCAGCCTCGCGACGAGCTGGAAGTTGCGGTGCTGCTCAGCCTGGCTGTAGATTCACTGGACAACATGGGCAACGATGATAACGCACCGACGGCCGGTTTGCTACCCCGGTTTCTCCGGGATAGACATCCACAGTTTTGAGGATTTAAACCGAGTAAGGGAATAGTTGCGCGCTGAGAGCTTTGTTTTCATAGCGCCTTGGTTACACGTCTGCATTTATTACGGGGGATTTTTCTTTTTAATACTTAAATATTTTCTTAATTTTAAGAAACCGGAGGGTTTTCAGATGCTTGAGAGGGCAGATTAATAAAAGATCAGTATTTTCATTGGGCAAACATCTCCCTCGTTGTTGATGATGTCTGTTAAATTCATCCCTGTGCTTTTTGGTTTTTCACAGATAGCACAGAGAAACATAAAAAACAACCATCTTTTGAATTTTAAACTTCACACAAATCCCTATAAAGCCATATATTGCATTTACTATATTTGAAGATTACAGCAAGACAATGTTAAAGCAATGTCATAGCTACACTAGAGAAATTCCACTGTAAATCTTTCATTCTGAAATGTACACTTTGGTGAGAAATTGGCCATGTTTGGGCACAGTTTAAGTTGGGTTTTGTTTATTTGTCTTCTGGGTGAAAGAAAAAAGTGTCGAGTAGCTGAAGGAAATTCACACTTTTATACTTAAGCAAACATATTCATTCCTCCCATCCCGCCCCCCCCCCCCCCTCAACGACATAGCAGCTTTAAAGTCCACAGATAAGTGGATTTTAAAAGTGTCAAACTTAAGAGTTTACACAGCCCAGGATAAGCAATATGTATCTTTCAGTTTGAACATGGTTAGTTTAGAGAGAAATCCTCTGAGAAATTTTACCCATTATTTTTCTTTTTGACTAAAACCATATGAAGACCCCCTGTCAATGGGTCAGAATCTCCAAATTGCTTGCTCCTTGCTCCTCTTGAGGTGCAAGATGGTAGCCCTTTGCCCATTTTAAACTAGTCTTACTTCTTTGCGCTTCTGAATTAGACAAATACTCCTGGTATCTGGAGGCCTTCCATAAGCATGGTATCAGAATGTGGCACTGTGCTCCTTGGCCACAGGGCAGTCGCTCTACACACACACTAGTGTAAGTGGGAGCAAAATCTGTTTCAGTGCTCACACTGTACAGAGATATTTAGTCTCATAGCAACAAGGAATTCCAGAAAACTTCCCATTTGAGAGGACAGTGGTACCTGGCAACGCCGCCACTTGCTGTACTACATATGGTTCACTCTGGGTTTTGCGTTTTCTAAATAGCTTTGGACTTTTTAAATAGGGTGATTAAAAAATTTCCATCTTCAATTCCTTTACTTGTCACCTCCATAAACACTTATAAAATATTAAAGATATCTCAAGTTACCAGCGTAGACTTCTCTGGAAGACTTTTCTGAATAAATTTCACTGATAACAATTCCCCTTTATCTTTCAGTCTATTAAGATTTGCGTCCCCAGCTAATGGAATAAGACCTCTCAAACAACTTCTAAGCTGCTTAGGCCATGACAGATTTACAGACCTATCTCACTGTGAGTTTCCAGATTTTGTCCAGAGCTCCAACCCCACCCATCTCCAGCAATACAGAGGCAAAAGGCTGTGATCCTAGTAGTAGCTCCTGCTGGAGAACCACTCCATGGGAGCTTTCCCAGTTGTGTTTAATGCTAAAGGAGCAACATTCAGCACCTGAAAGCTGGTAAAGGATGGCGATGGCATTGGAAGACATTTCTGATACAGAAGACATTTGCAGCTGGGAAAAGCAGTGAGGAATGCATTTTCCTGATGATCAAGGAGCAAAAGCAAATGTGTAAGAGATAGAAGTTCTGAGATCTTACAGGAAAGCCATGCAAAAATGAAACGCATAATTTCCGTATGTGTGTTCTCTTTTGGAAATACAGCTCATTTGTTCTTTTTACCAAAAATTCAATGAGTTCTACAGAATTACTAAAACTGGAACTCTGTAGCAGCCTTTGCTCAAGTCTAAGCATTTTAAAAAATTATCTATACTCTCATTTATTTTTGTGAAAAGATTCTACCAAACTTTGTAAGATTTATTCTTCACTACTAAGATATTTTATAAATAAAAATATGCTAAAATTCCTGGAAAAGAGTCACGTTCAGATTGTATTTCACATACCTATAACTAAGACCCTAGTATGTTCATATGTGTCAAATGCTTTTTGCGTAATTATTTTATTCCTGTTCATGCAATAGACCCCCAAATTTTGCATGGCCAATGCAGATCTAAATGCAGGAGCACAAGATATGACATTAGCCCATTTTCACTAATGAATTTGGAAACTACTACTGTCTTGGAAAAAAAAGTAGAGCAGACAATAGCTATTATTAGGTTATCCAGACCAAACCTTTGCCAATGCCCACTGGATTTCATTTTTGTTACTTTTGAGTTACTCGGGCAATAGTCTGTCACCAGTCACTTGAGGTGGTTATTCCAGCCCAGTGGTTCTCTCAGCTGGAATGTTTCTCCTGATGCTAAGATTAACATTTTATTTTGTTGAAATTCACCCAGTTCATCTTTCACATATGCATGAAGTGGCATTATAAATCCTTTTCCATTTTGAATCTAACCAAAATAGATGATATATTGAATATATAGGAACGAATACAGATGGATATATTTCCACCAACTAGTTTTTGCAGCCTTTGAGTCTTTTTTTAACCCCTCTGTTCTCTGCATACCAATGGCTGGCGTTTCTTTGCTTCTGAGCTAGTCAGAACTACAGCAGTCCTCAAAATTTTATCCCTGATCTTCAGCTGATGCTGGGCAAGTGCCACTGGAGTAGAAATTAATATCTAAAGAGATGCTATTAATCTCTGGTTTGTGACACGATGCAGCTACCATAGGAATCACGAATACACATCCATTTGACCATATCCTTTCATGAACATCTCAATTTTTCACCTGTTTTTCCTTCACTTACCAAACTGGGTGATACATTAATATGTCTTTAATATTTTTTGACAGACCATACCCTGCTTCCTGTTCTGGCTCCTAGTGGCAGATCCATAAAAGGGTTAGCATAGTCTAGGTGATTTATAATAACCAATGTGTAATTTCCTTGTTACAGTACATGTTTACTTAGAACATTTGATGGCTTATGGGGCTTTTTTAAGTAACTTTGTTTCGTTTTGCTTTTCAGTTGCATTATTTTGCTGTTCATGTCTTCTTCCTGCCATCTTACTGGCTTTCTATTCAGGTATGATTTTCTTTCTCTTTTCTATTTATAGAGAAAGAATTGTGCTAGCAGTTTGTGCCATGTAGACAGTTGTCCACTGGGAACTCGGTGCACTTTCTCCCGCATGGCAGTCACTAGTTGGTAACAGTTTTTGGCCACTACAGACAAAGTGACCTGCCTAAGAAGAACTGAAAGGTTCTGTAAGACCCCTCTCATCCCTTGAACCACTGGGAAATTTTCCCAAAACACATATCTGAAATGACATAATATGCCAGTTACAGGTACTATGTGTAGTACAGTCAAACTATGCTCCATGTTTCCCTATCCATGTTGTACTCATGGATCATCCTCCTCATATCTGTCCACCACGCAATCTCCCTTAGATAATTCAAATCTTTAAACAGCTCAATTCCTAAATGTTGCTTTTGTCCTCTTTCATTTTATTTTATATGCTCAACCTGTTACAGGGAGCACCTCGATTTGCAGTAGCTGCTCTGACACATTTAACAGCACAATTATAGATGACTTGGTAACCACCCATTGACTAAAAATAACCTAGCAACTGAAGACACACTTGGGTATTTATACTTAGATATCCCAGAGGAACCCTTCACAGCTCCTGTAGCTGGGGAAAACATATGTATCTCACCAAATGCAGTAGGCTAGGAATCCTCAGGGGTGGGGGCGGGGGGACGTAGGGGAAGTGATAACATTGCACAGCTGAAAGATTTTCCAGACAACACTCTGCCAGCTAATCCAACTCTTATCCAACTAGCTCTGCAATTAAGGTTTCCCACCGAGAACAATGACAGCATTATGACCTGGGAAATTTTCTACATAGAAAAACCTCAATGCATCTGAGATTAAAAAATTTAGAGCTTTAAAAAATCCAGTTCCTACACTGATGGTATTTGCAACCAGTACAGATCCCAAGGAACTATAGTGCCAGTATGCATATGAGAAAATATATGAGCTGTAATGAATGAACTAGCAGTGAGGAGGGAGCTAGGCAGCATATACTCTGTGAAGAATCTGCAGTGCTGAAACTCATTCTTGCCTTCCAGGGCAGAACTTTTTATTTTTATTTTTTTTTTTATATATGAGATGTACCAAGTTTTTACACAACCTGTTTAATGTCTGAAGAAAGAGGCAGCTAAATGACGTGATTTAATTTCTGTGATACATGACTACATATGATACGGCTGCCTATGGATAGTTTTATATTTGAGAGGAAAAAGAAACTCATAATTTAATTTAAAGAACCACACATATCTTAATGGAGAACTTGTATTACTGCAGCATCTGTCTCCCCACCCTTTCCTGCTCCCAGTTTCTTCTGGTTTGTCTATAGCTTTCATCTATTCTTGTCTTCAAATATGACTTCATTCACCTAAAAACACCTGAATAGTTAGGAATTTACGTCAAAAGGAGAACTCCTAATCTCAAAGAGAGATTGTACAATGTCTTAAGGGCCTTTCTACCTGCCTCCAGTTGTAAGATTATTGTCTTGAAATGATACCAGGGTGTTCAAGGCCAGGTTGGATGGGATTTTGAACAGCCTGACCTAGTAAAAGATGTCCCTGCCCATGGCAGAGAGCTTGGACTAGATGATCTCTGAAAGTCCCTTCCAACCCAAGCCATTCTATGATTCTATGATAATTCAGAGAGAGCATACAACTATTGAAACTCACAGTTAAGACTAGTGTGCAAGGCATAGGCTCAAGTATTCCAATGACTACAGGGCTATTCACAAAAATCACAATGAAATCGAGTGGCTTATCCTTATATTTTTTATTTTTTATATATTTTGAAATCATCTGGATTTTTAAACACTTCTCAAAATACAATTGTTTACTCTGTTTTTTAGAAAAAGGATTTGTATTATAACCGGGATGATTAAACATATGAAATTAAGGGAATTTAGTTATCATGCATAGTTTCCAGGATCAATTCTTGGAGGTCTAACCAAAAACTACACATGTAAAATGCCGTAACATTTAGGAAGTTCTTAACTGAGAATGAGACACAGAGAAAGCCATGCTGAATACACAGTAACTCTATGAGTCACATCACAGCAAACCTTTATGGAATGGCCAATAGCAGTCATTGTATGGAAAAGTTAATAAGCTAATAGATTTGTGATGTTTGTTGCTTCCTCTCATCTTATTGGAGGGGGAAAAATAAAAAAAATCCCAATTCTATAATGAATTCTACTGTACAAACTCATACTCACTGGCAACTTAACCAATAAGCTCTTTCATCCGTTGCTTGAAGTTTAACCAGAGAACCTTCTTTATATTTCTTTAGCTTTTGACTTTCCACCTCAAAACCTGGATATCACAAAAATTGATCAGGAGCTGTGGTCAGGCCATAATGGCCACTTTTAATTCTTTCCATTAGTGATTCTTACTGTAGTGTGTAGAAAGGGGAACTGCAGAAAAAGTGGAGCATATCCAAAACAAATCAGGCACCTCCACGGTAAGTTAGAACAGGTTCTGAATGCATGAGGAAGAGACAACAACTGCCTATGTAATGTTTGAGCGTGTTGGGTGATATTATTGAGGGAAGAAGTAATCTTTTGTTCCTATTAGGCTAGGAGAGGGGAAACAAATATTTTTCAAACAAATGTTAAGTGCAGATTCTTTAAAATTATTCAAACCCTCAATATTAACAGTTGAAAATTGTTACATGCACAAAATTAACAATTATTACATTTTAAGTATGAATTAAAATGAGTTTACCACTATGGCACTCTTTTTTTTTGACCTGAAAACTCATGTTTTCAAGAGATCTACACCTGCATCAGACTGACATTAAAAGAGACACAGAATTTTATATATTAAGTTTCTTCTGGGTGTGTATTCAGACATACGTAAAGGTGAAATGGTTTTTAAATTTACAGTCTTTAATCTGAGAACACAAACTTGTTGGTGATTCTGAAATATAAAACAATCATTGTACAAGCCATTCATGTATAATATAGTCCACTAGTTCTTGATAGTAAAGAAAAAGAAAAATATTAGGAAGTCTCTAGCTATTATTAAATACGGCCAGTTAATACTAAATTTATTAGACAATTTTTTTTTCATAGGATGAAAATGGATTACTGAAACTTAATCTGAGATTTATTACCGGACCCTGTAGAATTAACACATTGGAGGCCCATCTATTTACACCTGAGTGTGACAATGGCAGGAGCTTCAGATTAATATAACCTTCTCTTGCATGCACAACCTATTCATTATTTGCTTGTCTGTTTGCTTTTGTAGGAAGCTTATTTCTTCTATTTACCAGATACCTCAGGAGGCCTATAACTTACTACAGTTAATGAAGCAGCTGCCACATAGCACCTTTTCACAAAACTTTTTGTGAAAAGCTTGTTTTAAGAGGTAAGCAACCTCTTTGGTTTTGTTTTAAATTATGCTGTTCTAATAGGAACCATTTTTCTGCATGCTTACATCATTTTAAAATAGAAAGCTTTAATTACAACATGAAATGGAACATGTAAGATTTTGGCATTTAACAAAAAAGTCAGGTATTAAAATAGGACTGCTGGCACATGAGGAGTGACAGTGAACAGCCGTAACTAACTTCTGTAATAATCCTGGAGATAGTGTAGCTGATTCAGCTGGATTTCAGCTGGATAAAACATTACAAAGAGCATTATACAACATTGTAAGAAATCCTTCTCTATAGCAGAATATACACTCTCCCTTGACACTGCTTAACCTTAAATAGAGGAGTGAAGCGGAGTGCCAGGTCCTGGGAGGTTTTTGCATCACACCTACACTGGACTTTCCCAATCATCATACTTATCAGCAGGCTATTGAAAGCTTTCTTTGATTTCTTCACTTAGCGCACACTCAGTGAAAGCCCCACATGAACAGCCCATGTCTGTACTGTCCTTCCTGCACAGGCTCAAGTTCACAAGCCATATGTTTTCAGTTGCCTGTGGACATATATGAAAGGGGAGATGAGTCATGATAACTAATTGTTCCTGACTGAGGCGTATAAGGTAATATGTAGATAGTAAAGATGATACAGGCATTACAGCTTGAATGCCACTGTAAGTCTTAAACTCATATATTGGTTAAGCCATGCCTGCACTAACAGCTTTGACCTGAAAGTAACAGTAAAAATCTGAGTACGATTTACCTCACTGGTGTACTAATATAGTGTTAATGTGACATTAGATTAGTATAATATTATACATTGAATGGCTACTATAGTAGAAGTAGACATATCAGAAGTGGGTAGCAATGATTTGAAGTTTTTATGTACGAATTACCACATACAGATTATATACTGTATTTAGTTTTTTTAAATTATTTTTACCTTTTCTTTTTTACCAAAAAATGTTTATTTAGTTTTGTTTAGCATTTCAGAGGAAACTAGTATAGTCTATTCTGTCAGTAAAGTACAGAATAATAGGTCAGTAACACAGTTTATAAGCCATATGCTCTCAATCCATGCCATAGTGCTTTGAGAATGTGTCAACACTCAGCGATTTCCTTACCCAGCTCAAAAGCATCTTGGAAGCACCCCGGGCAATGTCTCATATACAGCCATTGAGGGTTATCCGCTCCAAAATAGCTGTTAAAATCTGAATGGAAGAACCATAAATGATTCAGTTGAAATCATGTCTGAAAATGCAAAAGGAAACGAACACAGAACAAACTATATAACATCAGTGGGTCTAACAGCGCGCACACCTGAAGATTTAGAACTGAAGACTTTGGTGTTTCCCCTTACAGTCACCCTACTGTATCTAACAGCTACTTTAAGATGCTGAGAATACTACTCATAAAATTGACTCTCACTAATTTTTAGAAGAGTTTTTTTGCATCATTTCAGATGTAAAGTTAACCAAACACATCCAGTTGCGTCTGACGTAAATGAAACTTAGTAAAACAGTCTCTCTCCCCACTCTCTCCTCTTCTTTTTGAAAGAGGTTAAGTATTCATATCTTCCCTACAAAGGACTTATAATATAGTACACAGCACTTACCTAGTTATAGCCTTCCTAGTAGAACCGTGTTAAATAAGAACTCAAAGTCTAATGCCACAAAATTCTGGATCCAGACACAGCTTACTTTTTGGATTTTTTTTTAACTTTACGAAGAAACAGGGATAGAAAAAAAAATCTTTTCTTTTTCATAGAAAACTAATGGAATTCTATTAAATCAGAACAAATCAAATCACCAAAACACATGACAATTACTTCTAGAAATGAGGGTCTAGCAAAAATCAGTATACTTACTGGAATAACTGTTATGGTTAAAAAGGAGATCTTAGATTTATTTTGAATGACAACCACATTTTGTATTGTTTTTTCTTTGCCTACATGTAACAGATTTTTATTTTCTTCCATTAGGAACCACTAGGTTTTAAAATATTTTGTTTTCATAATCACTTCAGAACAATAAAAGGGGCAATATGAGAAGCAGGTGTGTACTTTATGTAGTAAACTGAAACATCAAATAGTATGAGCAAGATAACGTCTAATTGTGTATTAAGTATCACCTAGAGATCAGCAAGGGAGAAGTTATTTTGCTGAAGTAAACATGTGCAACTGGTATCAATTCTGCAGACATGCCATAGGTAAGATGTTTATCAAAATGTAGTCTTATCGAAATAGATAGAATCAGTATATGACCAATGACCTCCTATTGTGAGAAACAGCTGCAATTTACTTTGCCATAAGAAAAAGGCTTTACCCTTTCCAGATTATGTATCCTGCTGCTTCTTATATAGAGAAGCATTCTTGAGAAGGCAGTGACAAAAACCAAGTAATGCAACTGTAAGAGCTTCAGTATGTTTAACTGCTTTATTTTCCTTTTCCAGGTATACTATTGAAGATGTGTAATCTTCTTTTTGACAGACACAACATAAGACAAAAATTCTTTCACAGAAATTTGAATTTTCCACTGTTTGTGGTGATAATATTTTTTTAATTAGAATCATAGAATCATGGAATCATAGAATCGATTGGGTTGGAAAAGACCTCCGAGATCATCAAGTCCAACCCTTGGTCCAAATCCAGTCCATTTACTAGATCATGGCACTCAGTGCCACGTCCAATCTGCGTTTAAAAATCTCCAGGGATGGTGAATCCACCACCTCTCTGGGCAGCCCATTCCAATGCCTGATCACTCTCTCTGTAAAGAATTTTCTCCCGATATCCAACTTAAATTTCCCCTGGCGGAGCTTAAGCCCGTGCCCCCTTGTCCTATTGCTGAGTGCCCGAGAGAAGAGACCAACCCCCACCTGGCTAGAACTTCCCTTCAGGGAGTTATAGACGGTGATGAGGTCACCTCTGAGCCTCCTCTTCTCCAGGCTAAACAACCCCAGCTCCCTCAGCCTCTCCCCATAGGACTTATGCTCCAGTCCCTTCACCAGCCTTGTTGCTCTTCTCTGGACCCGCTCCAGCACCTCAATATCCTTTCTGAACTGAGGGGCCCAGAACTGAACACAATACTCAAGGTGTGGCCTCACCAACGCAGAGTACAGGGGAAGGATCACTTCCCTGCTCCTGCTGGCCACGCTATTTTTGATACAGGACAAGATCCCATTGGCCTTCTTGGCCACCTGGGCACACTGTTGGCTCATGTTGAGCTTCCTGTCAATTAGTACCCCCAGGTCCCTTTCTGCCTGGCTGCTTTCCAGCCACTCTGTGCCCAGCCTGTAGCGCTGCAGGGGGTTGTTGTGGCCAAAGTGCAGGACCCGGCACTTGGCTTTATTGAACTTCATCCCATTGGAATCAGCCCATCTCTCAAGTCTATCCAGATCCCTCTGCTGACTATCAGATCTGAAATTTGTAAACAGGTATCTTTTTTCTTATGAATTCTTTTTCAGACTATAGTAATCTTTATCATCCCAATTATTTTTGTGTCATGCACACAGCATCTCAAAGAGGATTTGTTTGGCACAAGATATAAAAATTCCCTAATTTTTAAGAAGATAAAAGTAATCCTTTGAGTTACATTTTTCCTCATTTTGGTAGATATTTTAGTGTTGCTGCACTATAAAAATGTGTTCGTAAAGGAAATTTTGGTAACAAAGAATTTTACTAAAATAATGCTCAAGAAACATAAACATGAATAAACTAAAAATTCAAAAGACATGTTAGGGTATATAACAACTTAGACAAAATACTGGTTCACAAACAATTGTGAAATGAAGCTTCCTCTCCTTGACTTCACTGATACCTTTTTATTCAATCCTGCATCAAGTAATATTATAAAATTTGGAATTCTGATTAAGAATCCCCTAAAACAGATCCTGCATTTACTGACAAACTGAAAGAAAAGACGGCTGTACCGAGTCTTTAGCTAAATCCAGAAAACAGCAATCCATGAAGCTGGGAGCAGCCTGATGGTTGTGCATTCAAGAAGATTGAGAGTTGATATTTGTGGGTCCTTTTGTAATAAGTTTTTACAACACTGCAATAGTATAGTTTACTTCTTTCTTTCATTTTTAGTTCTTCTATCCAGAGTGGTATATGTTATGTATGTATGAATACTACAGGATATCAACCCCATTCAACGTCAGTGCTCATAGAGAGAAGAAAAAACAAAAAAATAATTACAAAGCTTTCTTCTCCTGCATTGTGAGGAAAGTCTTAAGCATAGCTTAAACTAACAGTCATCTTGAGAAGCATTTACACTATCACTCATATGGGAATGTTATTAAAAGCAATTCTATTCAGCACATATTCAAACAACAACAGTGGATGGATTTCACGGCAAGCAAGCAATCTCACGAATCAAATAAGACCTGTTCTCCTGTATGTTTACATCTTGTAATTAACTGCAATTTGCTGATTTCCTACAGTTGGACATTTTTTAAGACCATGTCATTTCTCTGCATTTAATACAGTAGGAGAGGACATAGTATTTGTTCCCATCATTGGGACATTTATAAGGTCTCTATCTTCTAATGATCTCTTGCTTTCATAAACATTTTGGTTGAACTCAGCCCTCAAATTAAAAAGCTTTTCATGGAAGCACAACAGATGTCTTGTTTTCTGAGCCTCAAAAGCTGCATAGCCCTCATTTATTGTCCTCACTGACCGCTCATGTTATTCTGGATCTCTTACTTGCACAGTTTGTCTGCTGCCACTAGTTTCTACAAATAAAAAAAACCCAAGTTATAGCAAAACAAAATCTTTTATGAAGTCTTAGCAGAACATTTTCCCCTTGATTGGAAATCTCTCACCAAGTCCTCTACAAAAGCCTTGAAAATATTGAATACTCTTTTTCTGTTCCTTGGTGCTAATGCGATGAACCCCATATTCAGATTTTAACACTGACCAGCACTCAGCCAGGCAGATTATCAAATCAAGTTAGAGTGGCTTACCAATTTACCTCACATCAGCACTAAAGCAATACCTTTTTGACCTGCTGTAACTGTGCAGTGTCTGAACCAAACACATGTGAGTGAAGGTTATTTCAGAAAGAAAGGACAGACTGAAAGCACAGCCTATAACCACAAGCGAAAAGTAGGGTAGACATCTGAGCAAACTGTTTAACCTTAAAGCCAATTAGGCAATGAAATGACTTGCCTGAGGAGGTAGTTTAGACAATGTAATGAGAAGTGTTTAAAATAGAATAAACTATTTGTGAGACAGATACAGATGTAAATAATCCTCCATGTTTTGAACTAGATAAATCAGGAGAGGTATCTTTTCTATTCAAATGTCTGACTATGAAATGGTATTCTCTTTCTTTGGGAACGGCTTTCGAACTTATGACTGTTTACACCTATTCTGAATACTAAAGTGAAACTGCACTCCAAAAGGCAGTTTAACCTCACTGTATCATTATAAAGTAGATTTATTCATCACAAGCATCTATGAAAAACTTCCAGCAAAAAAGTCCTTAGTCAGGGAGATGCACATTGTTGCAAAAATGGATTGTTTCTCTAAGTGCTTATATGGCCCCATTGCTATAGCATCCAAGAGCCTTACAAACATTAATGAATGTATTCTCACAACACCCCTGGGAGATAGAGATAGTATTATTAGCTAATGCACAAAGAGTAGCTTGTCCAAAGTCACACAGAAAGTCTGTGGCACAGCCAAGACTCAAAACTGTGATTTCCTGCCCATTGCTGTAACCATGACTATATTCTCCTGCCCATATACAGCATTTCAAAATATGTTACATATAACCTCAGATCTTTACACAATAAGCCTTTCTGTTCAGCTGTAGATCCAACCACTGACTTAATAAAGAAAAATAACTTTGTTTATCGGGAAGCTTCATTACAGCAACAAATTTGCAGGTTACTGAAACAATGACAGTTATATGGACCATAACTGGTACTTATATATGAGAGCAGAGAAAGAGAATTCCCTGATCATCACATTCAGAACAAGAGGCATCATATCCAGAACATGACTTTGATACCAAAATATTTTCCTTCAGATAATGTAAAGCATTACATTATACAGAGAAGTCTTGTTTTGAGAATAAAGGGAAGGAAAAAAAAAAAGAAAGAAAAAGAAAGGCTAGCTGTATTCCCTGAATAGTTCCTTTTGGATAAACTATTTCTGCAATAATAAGACACACACAGAATTTTCACTTTTAATGAGGTCAGATCTGGAGAGACAACTGCAGTAAGTGTATTTACACCTGAATATCAGAGAACAGAATTGGACTTATATATTTAATATTATAATCATGTAAATATATGATATCAAGATATATATATAGAGAGAGATAGATTTATTTTGGCAGTCATTTAGATTCATTTTGATGAATTCAGAGATCTGATTAAATGATAACAGGATTCTTCTAAATCAGAAACACATCAACTTGTCTTTATTTTGACAGAGGTGAAGCACAAGTATTACATTTTTCCAAAAGTGCTAAACAATTAAAAAAGAGAAAGTAGAGAACAACTGCAAATAATGGAAAAAGGTGTGAAGGTATAATGGATCACAAAGTGAATAATGATCAAAAAAATACCCTATTGTTGTAATGAAGTGGAATTCATTGGCAGAAACAAAAGGCAAGGTAAGTAGTGTCTCCTGAAGTTCTCATCACAGCACTTTTCTCAGTTTGTGGCTTCATCTTTCAAGAAAGATGTAGATAAATTAGACCTCATTTTAATTCGAGCTACCAGTATAGGAAAGGGGATTTATATTAGATGCTAATTGAAAACAGCCCAGCTATCAGGACAGTTAAATGATGGATCTGTTTATCATTTATAGGGAATCCACATCTCAACAAGCGTTTAAGAACAAGTTAAATAAATACCCATTGGAGTGATCCTAATTCACATAAGAGAACAGATTGTATCCTCAGATCCATTTCAGCCTAACACATATATCTGATCACTGTAAAAATAGTACAAACAGTTATTCAGATCACTTATTGTCCAAGAATCCTTGTCATAGAATCTCTTATTTCTTCTCTCCCCATTCTATTACTTTTTCTTTCCTCTTTTCTTTCTTCCTCCTTTCCTCCTTTCCTCATCAGATATCTCTTCTTCAGCCTTCCCCCTGTTCCTTCTATATGCTTTTAAAATCACACATCCCTTCTTCGACTGGAAATTCCTGATGTGCCTACCTTTAGCACCCTTAGCATAAGGAACATCCTATTCTTAGAGACCAGATACCTGTTCCCTACGGACTATATAAAGATCCAAATTTAGATAAAATATGATTTAAGCTCCTCATATCCTCACTACAGGACCAGAAAAATGCAGTGAGTGGGTACTTCTGGGTAATTTTTATTATAATTTTTATTACCAGAGTAATAGAAAAATTAGGAAGATAGTCTGTACATTAGCAAAATTATCAGATTAGAGAAAAAGAGACTCTTGCTATTAAAGAGCTTAGGTGCTCATTAGGTTGCTGGAATAGCTTTTCATTTTCTCTGGTTCTTCCAAGTATAGGACAAGACTTTTTTGCCTGTTCACTACCATCACAGCTACCTGTTCACATTTCACATGCAAAAAAAACCTGCTCTGATTTAAT